TAATCTCCTTCTATTAAAAGTGGGGGGTAAAAAAGTCTGACCTCGCAGCTCGGTACTTCTGAGCTGGGTACTAGAGTGATAAAGTTCATTTCTAAGACAGATGAGGAAATGCACTAGAAAATTATTTGTATCGGACCAAAGAAAGAACACATTTAAACCACTGTGGCTGAGCAGATTTATGTACCCTATCTAACTTTACCTTCTGTGTGCCCCATTAAGTTACTGCGGTGAAGAGTATTACACAAATGCCCTGATCTGCTCAGAAATTAAGGCCTGGACATACAAGCCACTGGGATGCAAAGAACACAGCCAAGCTCTCATTGACTTAACAGTAAGAAGAGGATAATATACCATGGTCTGTCCTTCTGCCTCCACCTGCAACCCTGCACTTCTGTTGACACTATGTGCTTAGTTCCTGAATTTGTGTCAATTATTCTGTCAAGGCTGAAGTCATTGAACCTGAGGTCATCTAATCATAGAATCATAGAATCGTTAAGGTTGGAAAAGACCCTTAAGATCATCAAGTCCAACCGTTAACTTATCACTGCCAAGTCCACCACTAAACCATGTCCTCAAGCACCACGTCTACCCGTCTTTTAAATCCCTCCAGGGATGGAGACTCAACCACTTCCCTGGGCAGCCTGTTCCAATGCCTGACCACCATTTCGGTGAAGAATTTTTTCCTAATATCCAACCTAAACTTTCCCTGGCGCAGATTGAGGCCGTTTCCTCTCGTCCTATCACTCGTTACTAGGGAGAAGAGACCGACCCCCACCTCGCTACAACCTCCTTTCAGGTAGTTGTAGAGAGCAATAAGGTCTCCCGTCAGCCTCCTCTTCTTCAGACTAAACAACCCCAGCTCCCTCAGCCGCTCCTCATAAGACTTGTTCTCTAGACCCTTCACCAGCTTTGTTGCCCTTCTCTGGACACGCTCCAGCACCTCGATGTCCTTCTTGTAGCGAGGGGCCCAAAACTGAACACATCTAAGCCAGGCCCTTACCTGCTCCAAACTGGCAGAACTCTTCTTACTTCAGCCAAGCTAGGACAGTCAAGGATGTACAAAAGTGAGACTGATTGATAGGGTTTCTGGAGAACTCTTGTCTCTTTTGCTATTGCACACATCCCTCCCATAGAATACCATTCATAAACTGGGAACTCTCCATCTTAGAATTAATTAGGTTTTCTGTCACTGTCCTAACGTGCTGGAAAGCTGTTCCAGAGTCTGACTACTCTGTTGGTTTGAAAACATGAAGTAAAAAGGCACTTGAAAATAGCAAAATAACACTGGAATCAAAGTGGGGGGCTAAAAAAGTCCATTATATCACTTGAGTTTGCTGCCAAAATAAAGTCTCTATTTAGTAGGCATCAGCCCAGCTGGTACTTAACTTTTAGTAACCATTGCCATGTCTCTAAATAGAGTGAAAAAATGATACTGTGTCTCACTTAGGTTCTTTCAGACATTTTAAATGTAATTGCGACACCTCCAAGTATTTCTCCTTCCTCACTTGTTGCTTGAAGATACATGACCATAAAAGGGACCGATCGCGATTTGACGTGTTACCACACGCTAGCAGTGTCACAGCAGCAAATCTCTTAGCCTCCAGCAAACATCAAGTCACCTGCTTAACCTGCTTTATAGTGGATTACCTTAAATCACATTACCTTCCATTTGCCTCATACTAAGTGAAGACACACAGATATTTAACTCAGATTAGCAAATAAACTGATTTTGCTGCTGAGCCTTTAGACAAGAGGACTTCAGTGAGTTTTGCACCTCAGGTCAACTGCTGCGATCTGCCATTTCAAAAGACGGCAGCAACTCAGCCAGATTAGGCCCAGATCTTCCCAGATTAGGCCCAGAGAAAGGCTACTGAAACTCACCAAAGGCCCACCGCTAAGCAAAACACACAAGCTAACTACAGACCCATGGGATGAATGAAAAAGGTTTTCTGATGACTCACGTGCCATCTCATGACATCTCAGCCAGATGGCTATGTTGGAATTAGTTATGAAGAGCAGAAGTTGGTTTTTTTTTGAGAAGTGTATCTGCAAGAATGTGTCGCTTTGCTGCTGAGTGTTGTTTTGTGGTAGAATGGTTGCTGCATTCTTTCCAGTGCCAGCAAACCTACAAAATTTGGTGTGTGAAATAAAAATCTTCATCAATATTACATATTAGTGGCAGGACATGCGAAAGCTAGATTATTTTGTTTAAACCTTAAAATAAGCACTGAAGCCTTGTGAAAGACAGTGACAGAATTAACTGGACAAAACCAGTTTCCCAGGATCTGAAGTTACAATGGCAGGCACTTTGCTGAATGCAAGTGAGAAATGAGACACAAGATCTTTTGTCCCAAATAAGTAAGGTTTTACCAAGTAGAACGTAAAATAATATTGAAGTAGTGCTTGTTTAATAATATTACATTGTTAAATAAACCCTAAGATTGATATTTCCCATGTAAAAGATAAGGTTTTTAATGACTGGTTTCATCTTATTGTACCTTAGAACCACAGGGTGCTGTAGCAGTAATTACCAGCAAACAGCATCCTTTGCCTTTGATGTGCACTTTTGAAGCACTAAGATGATCGGTTAAAATCACCTTCAATTCCTGGACTTCTAAGACACATTTTTTTGCATTTCACTCAGCTCTTCAGCAATCCCAGAAAGCTCAAACCCCGTTGAACTTCATTGTGAGGCTGAAGCAGCGATTTAAGCTTTGCCTTCCCAGCCCTGCCTGACCGCCATTCCTCAGCCTGCAGCAGAAAGATCACGGCTGGGGCGGGAATCTGCAGCACCTGGGGACAGATTTGGCTCTTGAGGGGTGCTCCTACGCTGAAGAGGAGGGAGTTGCCCTTCGCTGGTCAGGCAGCTGGGGCCGCAGCAGCACGGCCCTAGCCAGGCCTCCCTGGGCCTGCGGTTAGACCCTGCCCCGTCACCAACGTGTACCTCCCGTGGCACCAACCCGCCCGTTAGAAATAGAAAAAAAACGAACCCAACCCCAAGCTGTGCCTTCTGGATGCTGCAAGAGATGGCCCTGACCTTCTCCTCCCTCCGTCGGCACGTATTTCGGCCTCTGGCAAGCGTGGCCTGTGACCGCCCCAACGCGAGCCCTCCTTACCCACCCGGCGGCGGCTCTCCCCTGCTCCCAGGCGCCCCTCAGGGGCATCCCCAACCTCCCCCAGGCCTCGGCGAAGGAGGTGACCCCCTCGCTGCCAGGCCGGTCGCCAACACCCCTTGGCCAGCTCACCGCCACATTCCCCCGGGGCCCATCCATACCCCCCCCAGCCCCAGTGTGTAAACGCTTGTTGCACCGAGGTGTTTTTTTTGTTTGTTTGTTTTTTTTAATAACGGTGCTTTGAGGGCGCAACACCCCACACGTTGTTTTAATCCCCGGGAAGGGTGCGGGGGAGGAGCGGCGGGCAGCTTGGCGGCACTGCCCTGCTGCCTCACAGCGCCTCGGGCTGCGGGAGGGCTGAGCG